GCAAGAAATATGAGTAATCAGCCATTTTTTTGTGAGTTCCTTGAAAACACAAGGTACTTCACGTTATTTTAAAAGGTTTCTATAATAATACAAACAATAAGAAAAGTAATTTATAATAATTTAGAATTAGCTTGTTTAAAGTATATTTTAGCTCCACAGATAATTTCAATTTCCATTAAAAACACAATGATAATTATACTATTATTTTACGTTAGAAATTATAGAATAAGTTAGTAACCGTTATTTGATTTTAAACTTGCAATCACTTAATTTCATTATCTTATTAAGGACATCAGTTAAATCAAATGCTTTCTATATTATTACACATCCATTTTCTGTATTGTAGTACTCCACTGTATAGCTCTAATATTATCTGTAGAAATACACATTAACATCCTTATTAATTAGCATGTTTCTTGAAGAAAGTTTACTTAATCCATGCCTATATTCAGACCAGGAGGATACAAAGTATTAAGCTCATGAATGAATTGTGCTAACTTCTTCTGTTTTGGATCAAAGAAAACTTTGATTATTTGTCTATCTACACCTTCCAAATTGTTTAATTAATGCGTGCACGCTTTCCCTAGAAGTAATTCACACCGGAGACAAAGTTTCTGATCAGTGAAAAACCCAGGAATGCTTTATTCCCCGGAGTGGGGGCTCCTTCTTAAAGCAAAAATACGTCACAGTTTAAACATACAGTATACATTCACCAATTGGTTAACAGAGAAAGGGGGCTCTTGTTTAAACCCCCCTACAGAATGTAGTGTCATCATTACACACTTTTGGATACACGATGGGAGGGGGAGTGAGTGGTATCTATCAGTTCTAAACCAATGATCCTCCATTTAGCTATATATGGCATATAGCTGTTAACTGGCACAAAGGTAGTGGGGGAGGGGAGGCTAGCAGGATGTGAGGAATTTACATAGTAAACAGCAGCTGACCACATTGTAGGGGGGGAAGGGAATATTTACTCTAGAAGCCAGTTTTAACATAGTGAACAGAGAATAAATAGACATTAGTAAATAGCCATTTTATTTTAATTCATCTGTCCATAACAGTCCCCCCTTAAAATGGCAATTTTTACTAAAACTACTATCTCTCATTCTAATACTGTCCCTATAGAAAAATAACAAAAGGCTATCTTGCACATCTGTCTGAACAGGCCTCGAACACTTCACTGCGCGGGTACCCCATAGCAGCTTGTCCACTACTTCTCCCGCGGCAGACTTCTGCCCGTAGAGACAGACGCTATCCCTAAATGTCCTTAAGAGGAAGTAGCTGTTGATTTAGTGCGGTGGGACTGTAAGGGTGTATGTGGTGTATCAAGGTCGATGTCGTCAATCTCTTGGTGAAGGAAGGTCGGGGTGGTCTGGTCGATTGTCTGATCAACTGTCCTTTGTAGGCATTTCTTAAGACAGGGTAACACACAACAAACAAGAAGAGCGAGGATGATTATCGTTATTAAAATGGCAACACCTATTTGGGCCAGAGCACCTTGCCATTCAGACATCCATCCAAACCATCTTTCCCATGGATCTGTGGCCCCAGAATTTCGTTTCAGTTCATTGGACAAACTCTTTAACTTTTCTATTGCCAACGTTACCTTACCATTAGGGCCTGTATTATCTGGAATATAGGTACAGCATGTCATGGTGTCTGGGAGTATTTTACATACTCTCCCTTTTTCTGCTAAAATCATTTCCAAGCTTATTCTATTCTGGAAGGTCATCTGAGAGATAGTTTGTAACCGCCCTATCCCACCATATATCCCATAACAAGTATAGTTCCCGGGCTATATAGTAATGCCTTCGTCTGGGTTAATATTTTTAGTAATGATTGGGTATTAAGTTTCCATGACTCGCATGCTGACCGCTTAGGTTTAAATACAGTGTAGAGACTTAAAACGCACACTTCATATCCGGAGGAAGGTTCAGGGATACTGTACCTGGGTGAGGCCTCGCTCCTCTGCAGACATAGCAGTTAGACTTGTTATGTTTAGTAGCATTGTATTTCATCCATTCAAGTCACAAGTTAGTGTCAGAGAAACCTGTCTCTACAGCCCTCTTATCCTCAAATATGGGATGACTACCATGTCTTTTAAAGTCCTAATGTGTGGTTTGAGGGGATTAACAGTCATGTGCGTGGCACCTACCCATTCAGCTGAGTCATACATGTCCTGTAAGAAAAAGGTCTCCTGTTTATTGTATAAACCTCTTCCCTTCCAATTCAGATTTTATTAGCCGTAATGCTTGGGAGAATAGATTCAAACTTAGTTTCTTACCTTAAAATTATTTGGTACCCCCCTTGACACCCCTATGGCATTAATATACATATATATGTATGTGTGGGTAAAACCACCCTTTATAGGGGTACTCCTTTTTGTCCTGAAGCATGAATGAGGTGTGTCAAGAGTACCTTGGGGATTGTCATGTGTTATGTGTATGGACATAATAACCTAGGCTAGGGCACATTTACTTATTCTTAGAAATCTTGTCTCATGCTACCCTAGTACTGGCAGATTCAGATCATTTAAACATTCAATATTAATATCACCACAAACTCAAGATAAGCAGATGATCTTGAAGAAGCTTTGACTGTGCGTATGGCACCTCAGACGTGAGGGCTGCAGGGTAAGGAGTATGTTTGTTTCTCTTTAGTTTCACGAGGTCCCCTTTTGGGGTATTCAGCTTTCCATCGATGGCAGGTGGTCAGGCATTATTATGGCCATCAAAACACCCACTTGTTGATATTTATTTATTTATTTTCAACAAGTATCTTTGTTCTCTAAGAATGGAGTTTCAAAAAGGGTTGTCAAGATCAACAAATGTTACTTCACATGATGCAGAGGCAGGCTTGATTCTGGAATGATGAACCCACGGGGTGATCTCTGTATCTTTCACGGTGCACTACTCAGCATGTGGTCTTGGTTATCACTTTGGTGGCTGGATAGGCCTCTGGCCATCCTGAAAACATGTCTGCTATAATTAGTGCATATTTGAATCAGCCATTCTTTGGCATTCTGGCGACTTGACTCCTCTGGAAGAGATAATGAGGTTTGGCTAGATGCTTGGGGCTTTCATCCATTCTTCTTGAGTTGCCCTTGGCACAAATGGCACAAGATTTACAGTAACTGTTGGTCAGAGAGGCAATTCCTGGTACTTCAGAGTATTTATTGATCAAAAGAGTTCATGAGGGTTCTGGACAGATGCTCCGTAGGCCCACTGGACCACTGCTGAGTATATGTTCTTGGGCAAGTATAACTTGAGATTGTTGAAGTACAGCCTGTCTTTAAGAGTTGCCCCTTTCTGTTTCCAGCTTGTGGTTTGTTTGTTTTTTCTTTCTTTCCAGGGTCAGTAGCTTGCTTGTTATTCCTTCGGGAGCTTGATGTCTGTGGGTAGGATCTTACATGGTGAATATGGGAGTTTCTTCAGCAGACACTTTTCTGTCCACTTCCCTTAGTGCACTTACAACTTTTTGAACAACTTAGTCAGCCAGAGAGCTGCCACATGCTTCCTCTGAGTTCAGTCTTCCTTCAGAGATCTTGCATGGTGTGATGGGAGTCTATAGCTCAGCTTCTTGTGCAGACATTGTTGAGGTGAGATACTTGGTCCACTGTAGTGACAGCAAATCCGGAACAGAACATAAGAAAAAGGCTAAAAAAAATAATAGTCAGTGTCTTATCATTTCCCCCCTTGGGAAGTGGCAGAAGAGTGGCCAGGTAAATAGAGTATCATCCCTGCAGGGTGACATTATCCTGCACAGAATTCGTCCATCACAAGGAGAGGTGGGATATTGCATGGAAAGTCTCAGGTAACCAGGGCAACATTCGACACCAGAGCCTTAACCTGTTAGGGAATAGTAAGAGCTTGGACAGGCTTTGGGGCCTGTATAATTCAGGTAAAGGTATTGGGGGAACTAGCTAGGACCCTTGCCTCTTGGTCAGGTTTCACTGTGTGGAACAAAATGAATAATAAGGTGATAGGGGCCTGCAAGTGGGGGAAGGACATCTGCACCTAGCAGATTAATTGGACAGGTGAAGGTAACCACAAAGCAAGGCTTAGTTAACAGGCTACTCCAAGGAGAGCCATCTACACTTATGCAGGAGACAACAATGTTAGACAGGAATGAGGAGTCAGGCAGGCCTTGCTTGGTACAAATAGATGTCATGTGGCCTGCTATACAAGGCTGCATATAGTTATTGGGCATGGGCCTTACTATGTACTAAAACTTAAGTTAAAAGAAAATTTGGGACAACCTGAAGTGATGCTTCTCCACAGATGCTAACTCATTGTTGATGACATTGTTAATACAGGTAGCCTGATCAGCCAATTTATCTTAGGCTTAAACAAGTCACACCATGTAGTGGAATGGGTCATTAGGATTCGGGAAATTCTACAGTAAAAGGGCATAGTAAGGATGTACGCGATGTTACTTTAGGAGTAGGCGTGGCTGTGGATAGGGGGAAATCAGCCTTATCCATTCCCATATATTATTCCTTTTGTCTTCAGTATATCCAAACCATGTGTATGTCCAGGCGTTGCAATATACAGTAATCCATTATCAGTCATGATATTAAAATCTCATTCTCATTAATTAAATCAAAGATTTTAAATCAACCTCAGAAGTAACAACATTGTTTTTACCTTCTGTAAAATGATTGGAGTTACTGTATAATTGCATACACCCAATATAACATACATTGCATGTTCCTCACTGCTACATTAGTGTATTTCATTCTGCCATATTTGCAAACTTGATGTACATTTTTATTTTAATTAATTAACCTAATACTTTCTTAAAATACATATAAAACAATGAAAAAACAGTTCAGACTAACATTTCATTAAAACAAACTAACATAGAACTCTATTCTTGGCTGTTCTTAATTCTGGAATCAGCCTGTGTACCTCTGTTGGCAGACATATCCATGCTCATTCCCTAAACTGATCATATCTCTTGAAGTTATCTGATTCTTATAACTTTCTGTGTTACGCTGCATTGCTTGTCTGTCTCCTAATTTCGATTTAGCTAAAATTGCTTTTATTTGTCTGATTATAAGTTTACAAGGAAAGGCTTTAATTGATTTATCTCCACATGTATTTTCTCTGTCAAAATTTTCAATCAACAAATTTAATTTCTCATTTGCTTTTGATTTGATATCTCGGATAAAATATCTGCAAGATCTTAAATAATGTTGTTTATTGCACCAAAAACAAATAACTTTAGGAGTTATATTCTGCCCTATATTATCAACTGCCCTATATTTAGTTGAATAAATTGGGAGGGGCTCAGCTGTCTGTATCACTCTACACTCTGTCCTAGAAGAAGAAGAAGAAGAAGGAGGGGGACGGGGGCTGTAACATCTGCACTTCTTTCTCTGCCTAAAGCCACAAGTCGTTTTAACCCCTTCATTCTTGGTTTCCCTCCTTAAGTTATCCAAGAACAAAGCTACTTCTGTCAAAGTGCTTTTTTCTCTAGCTACCACAATTGCAGTTGGATCTAGATCTTGAAATTTTTTCACAAATTCATTAATTAACTGATCTTCAGAAAAATCAGCAACAAGTCTATATGCATTTTCAAATTTTACAAGAAAACTAAATATATCCTCCCCCTTGTGTGGTTTTAGTTTTTCCAACATTTCAGTGTCTGCAAAATCATTCCCTGTTGTTAATTTTATTAATTGTGTTAATCTGTCTCGCTTATTTCCATATATTATTTCACCATTGTCCTCAAATTTTACAATCGCGGTCAGCCTACATGCCATTTGAGTCAGCAGCCATATTTGAAATAGTCTATTCCTTTGTACGTCATTTAGGCTGTATTTGTCTAAATTAGACTCAAACATTTCAGCATTAGTGAATGCATCCACTGACGTGTCATAAACTGGAATACATTTCACAATTTTCATTAATTGTTCATGGATCTTCAAATTAAGTTTTGCAGCTCTGTCTTGAAATTTATATTTCTGCAAATCACTCTGTGAGGATACATTTTCAGTATCTATTGGCTCTGGGATTAGATTCTGTGCCTGTATTTTTCTTGTATTAACACACACTAGCTTTACTTCATTTCTAAGCTGGCAAATAAGATCATTTCTTAGTTCAACTCTATCCTCTAATTCACAGACTGTTTCTGACAATGTGCTCTCTGTTACATTGTTACACTGTTCATTTAAATCTGATTTGTCTTCTGTTAACCCATTCAAATCTACTTCTTTTTCTGCTGATTCTAAATTTTCTTTACCTGTATTTCGTTTACAAATCAATGCATTGTAAGTACAGACTAGTTTCATAACATTTCTGATCTTTTTTTTTTTTTTTTTTTCTTATTAACAAACAATTTCTTGTCAATTTCACTATTGGCAATTTCACATTGTGTGTATAAAGATTGCCACAAAACAGCATCTGAATAGCTGCTATTAAATGCAAACTGCAATTTACTTTTCTCTGCGATATCATTTATAAATTCCACAATTCATTTGTTCCAACAAAATCTAACTTTCCTTATTCCAACATGCCAATAACCTCTTACTTAACAACATATACAAGATTACACAAAGTTCCTAACTAGGTTATTCGTCCAGCAAATATACCTTGTTTCCCTCACATTCCTCACTGAGTTTACAAGCATTTCACCCATTCACCCCACCCCTGCAGTCAGAGCAAGAGAAAGCAACAAAGAAGGAGGGGGGAGGAGGGAGGAAGACTTGCAAGCACAAAGTTTTTTAACCATGTGATTGCCTAAGCACAGCTCTCCTTAGGACAAAAGATAGAATAGGAGAGTAACGATACAAATTGTATAGATTACAATTAACATATATGGTACCCAACAAGACATACACAGACAAAAGCACAAAATACAGATGTAATTAAATCACAAAGTTCTTAAAATAAATGCCGGCTTATAATAAATCAAATCACACACACAGAAACACTCAAGCACATAAACCGCTCCTTTACCAAAGCTTAGCTATTTAAACTCTTGACCGAGTCTTAATAAAACAAAGGAACCGCCAGGTTTTTTACCAAACGAGGCCAAAACATCACTCACTAGCTTCTTTACCAAAGCTTAGCTAAAATATTTTTTTTTTTTTATTTATTTATTTTTTTAATTATTTTATTTATTTATTTTTAAACTCTTGACCGAGTCTCGCAATAACTTCTTTACCGAAGCTTAGCTAAAATAAATATAGAGCCAGGGGTTTTCCACCAAACCCGAACTTGGCTAAACCTGCAAGTGCTTAACCACACTTGGCAGCATTATATAACAGTATTAAGCAAGTAGTAAAACAGATTCTCAAACAGACACTTTCACACATAAAACTCACACTCAGGACTCAGGCTGTAGATAGACAAGTGACAGGTTCTATATAAAAGGGGACATTCGGGCATATATATATTACCTGTCTGAAGACGTTAAACACCGGAAGCCGAATGTGAAGGCACGGAGAACAAGAGAAATCCAAAGAAAGGAAAATATAGGTAAGTAACTCATTTACCATATGCAGAGGTGATCAGGCTCCGTTTCCAATCTCTGGGAATCCTTTGCTCTCCTGTCTTGGGATCTGACGGCTGCCTTAGTAACGTATCCCTTAAATGCCCGCATTCTCCACCAAATTGTTTTGGATCAAAGAAAACTTTGATTATTTGTCTATCTACACCTTCCAAATTGATTAATTAATGCGTGCACGCTTTCCCTAGAAGTAATTCACACCGGAGACAACGTTTCTGATCAGTGAAAAACCCAGGAATGCTTTATTCCCCGGAGTGGGGGCTCCTTCTTAAAGCAAAAATACGTCACAGTTTAAACATACAGTATACATTCACCAATTGGTTAACAGAGAAAGGGGGCTCTTGTTTAAACCCCCCTACAGAATGTAGTGTCATCATTACAGACTTTTGGATACACAATGGGAGGGGGAGTGAGTGGTATCTATCAGTTCTAAACCAATGATCCTCCATTTAGCTATATATGGCATATAGCTGTTAACTGGCACAAAGGTAGTGGGGGAGGGGAGGCTAGCAGGATGTGAGGAATTTACATAGTAAACAGCAGCTGACCACATTGTAGGGGGGGAAGGGAATATTTACTCTAGAAGCCAGTTTTAACATAGTGAACAGAGAATAAATAGACATTAGTAAATAGCCATTTTATTTTAATTCATCTGTCCATAACACTTCAACCTGTTCCCCCATCTCCAGCATTTTTCTACTTACGCTATTCTGACAAACTAGACATTTAAAAAAAAAAAAAACTCAAGTCTTTACTTTTCTTCTTCAGTTTCTTTACCACTCTTCCAATATAATGAGGGATATTCATCTACATGTTCTAAAAAGTGGTGCAAATATGTAAAATGGGAAGACTCATCAATTTAATGTCCCTGTTTGCTCTACTGGTTTCCATGGTGACTGCCCCACGTTAAGACAACATTTACAAAAAAACACTTTAGGTGTAATCACTAAAGAGAAAATTCTAAGTGAATTTCAAATTTGAAGTCAAAATAGCATAAATGGAATAATTCTTTTTATGGTATTTTTATGGTAGAAACCTCAAACATGACATCTAAAATATTCCAAACAACAAACTTTGACATAATTTTTCAATTGGATATCTTGTTTTCTTTTAATGTTAGCTGTATAGGTTGGTGCTAGTATAACTTTTTACAAAAACAGTTGTGAGCTTAGCAACTCATACAATTTTGTTTGTTTCCTAGCACTTCTGCTGCAGATGTCCTTCATCGCATTGTCCAGCTTATTCAAGAGGAAGACTGTGTAAGTTAAGGTTACAGACATATCTTGTGATTAAGATATTGCATAAAAGTTTCATTGAAAAAAAATTGAATAAAGCAGTAAACAACTAGTATTCGATGACTATGAGAAAGACAGAAGTGAAAAAGATCTGCTGGTATTTACTACCACTTTCCATACAAGAAAATGTTTATATTGTCATAGACAAATGTTTGTACCAAGAACAGTAAAACATATGGAATTTAATGCATTGCTTGTGTCAAATTTAGCAAGTATCTATGACAGTATAAAGTTAAATGCAGACAAGTGTTACTGTTTTTGAATCTATACGTAATTTATTTGCTTTCTGATGCAAGATTTTAAATTGCAAAACTTTGAGCATGACCAGCACGTAAGTCTTTTTTTAAATATACATTTCATTACCTCAGATG